TAACCTGTTTCCAGGCTTTAAGTTTTAAGGAAATTTCCTTACCAATTCAAAACTGCTTTTCTTGAAATTACTAGCTGAACTTGCTATTCAAAGTAGTTAGATTATTTAAGAAATTGTATGATCAATAAAATGTGGAGGGAAAAGGAATGGAAGATGACTGTAGACACCAGAGATGGTGTGAGAAGAGGGTTGGAAAGGGCAAAGGGTCAAACAGAGGTGTATACATACATATATATACACACACACACACACACACACACACATATATATATATTTATATGTGTGTATATATATATTAAACTACAAATGGAAAATTATTGATAACATGCATGATTAAGCCACTATGTAGTATATTCTGGATGGATAACCATTTTTTGTATGCTGTGACAATGATTAGGGGATGAATGTAAATTAATTAATTTTTAAAAATTTCAGGAGAAAAAAATATCATGAAAACTATTTTTCATGAAATTTTTAAAAATGCATATTTGAGGACTGCAGTAAGCTATGTACTCCCAGCTGGGTGCTACTTTGTTGTATGTTCATGCCTAGGGTCAGACTTGTGTTCATGGATATGTATATATCAGCTGCGCTTGCTATTGAAAGTATTTAGATTAATTAAGTTTTTAGCAAATAAATAAAATGGGGAGAAAAGCATAGAAAGCAACCATGGATACCAGAGACAGTGTGGGAGGAGGGTGAGACACGGCAGATGGTGAGAGATAGGGAATCAAGAATGGCAAAAATAACAAAATATACAGGGAATAGGAAATGGAAAATTATTTGTTGATAACACATATGTTGACGTGCTTGATTGAGCCAATATACAGTGCATTCTGGATAGGAAATCTCATTTTGTTTGCCGTGATGATGTATAGTGAATGAATGTAAATAAATTAAAAGAAAAAAAGAAAAAGAAAATATGCCTTAGGTCACTTAACATGGAGAAAAAAAGAAATACTAGCTATTATTACTATCTATTCTTATCTACCATCATATTGCCATTTATTGACTGCTTTTCTCTGTCCCAAGAAATTTCCACAGGACTAGTCCAAGTTCACACAATTGTCTATGCAGCTCTCTTGGAGCATACAGGATTCCCTCTTCAGCACTGATACCAGGATTGTTGGTAGGAAGCCTTAGCAGTGGTCAGGCAGGGACCTGCACTTCTCAGCACACTCCTTCCACTTGGATTGATGTGATATATCAGTAAGATCTCGAAGTACTCTACAGTTGCTTTTATTCTTCCCTTTTTTAAAATTGAGAAAGCATCAAATATTAGTTATGTTTGTATCTGAGGGGCAGTGGGCCTTGGGGGTAAGCCTTCTTTTCAGAGGGGAGTACTACAGTCAGGCCTCCAATTGCTCCATTGTACACAGGACAACTATTCTCACTATTCTCTTCTCTGGGTCAGGGCTTTTCAAATCCTTTTCCAAAGAACTCCCTCAAGGACTCACCTTGTTGATTGAACTCTGAATGACACAGGTACAGTAGGGTCAGGAATAAAATGTAGGCCCACCCAACCTCTGTGATAACCGTAACTGCATATTAGTCTCTCTGCGGTATGAAGCTTTTAGGTAAGCTTTCCTTGGGGCAAAAGGTACTGTGACTAAGAAAAATGTAATGAAACATTTAAAAACCATTGCTATAGAACACTTACCCCTAAACTGACCAGGTGTTAAAGAATTAATAACTGTGTATATGTGGTAGTTTTGTCACCAGGAACATTCCAGGCCCAAATTTACACTTTTGTCTTGAGCCAATCCTGTGCTTTTGAATACCTACCCCAACCTTCTACCACCTCTGACCACCACCAGCAGCAATGTTTACCCAGTGTCCAAGATTCTTCATGTACAAGGCCAGGAGGAAGGAGCTCGCAGCTAGCTTGGAAGCCCTCTCCTGGATATAGTCATATTCCTGCAGAGTCATCTCACAGATGAAGCGGGACAAAGTTAGTGTCTTCATGCTGGCATGGACACACTAGAGACAGCAAGAAAACTGGCTCAGCAATCATTCCAGAAAAACAGAATCAGGAGAAGATTCCATCTCCAGCTATCTCACCCCAAATCCAAATGGCTTTAGTCTGAGCAATGTACCTCTCCTATCACCATAACACACTCTAAATTAAACAAAAGTACAAATGCTCTGGGAGTGGTTCCTGAATCAGCAGTGGGATTTGACACCTTTAAGGTTTTTAACCAAGTTATCAAGTGTACGGTTCCCTCCTACCTCCCCTTTCTGTAGGAGTCGTCCTTTGAGGAAATAACACACCCAGATGGATTTATCCTAGGAGGAGTTCCATGCTTCAAAACAACTCCTTCCCTTTTCTTGTCTGAACTTGTTACTAAAGAATATATAAATATAACCTATTAAGACATATGGAAAAAAGTACATAACACATATTTGTAGGATATAATGAACAATTATAACGTAATCTCCCCGGTAAGGAACTCAGTCAAAGAAAGAGAACATTGTCATCATACCCTCAAAATTCCCACCTGTCCCTTACTCATCAAAAACTCCTTTTCTCTTACCCAACTGTTCCCTACCCCCAAATTTTTAGACACGCTGTAGACATCTGCATCTTGCCCTTCCCACCCATTTCCTGTCACTTCATAAAGATTATCCACCTTTAACCTACGAGGTTGGACTGAAGGAAAAAATACGCCTCTTTCCAGTTGTCCTTTTCCCTTTTCTGCTTAAGCAGCCACTCTGAATATAGAGGGAACTAACCCAGAAGTGAGAGGAGGAAGCCCTGCCTCTTCTCTTACCCTAGCATATCTACGCAGAAAATGATAGGCGGTGGGAATGTTGATGTCAAACTGGAGGGTGTGCAGGATGCTGATTTCCATGGCAAGCATCTCATCTCGCTGATAAATATCATCACAGATGTAGAGGAAGTCATCCATACAAGGTGGGCAGTGCTCCTAGGAGTGAAGAGGATAGACACAACTATGCAGACATCCATCTCCTCGAGTTTAGAGATAAAAGGAGTGAGGTAGAATAGGGAAGAACAGGAGGTAACCACGTGTATATTTCCATAGACCTTTAGGGGAACTCTGAGAGGCAGCTTCTGGTCAATCTGAGTGGCTCATCAGGAAAACAAAACCAGAGAAATAAGAGGAGAGGCTGATACAAAAACTGCACCAGAGCAAGACAGGGCCTCTTGAGGTGAATTCTTACACTGCCAGAAACAATATAGCAAGGCACAGGGTTGGGGGAGCAGAGAGCTAACCTCCTTCTGTGTGAGAAACAGGAGTAGAAAACCTAAGGCTTGCTCAGGAAAGAGAGAGGGAAGGAGAAAAGGGAGCTAGAGATAAAAATAAGCCTACACTGCATGCCCTTGACTCAAAAAATGAGTAAGGATGTTTGGGGAGGGCACCACAGGAGTATCAGTCAATGAGAAAGAGGGATAGAGGCAGACAGGCATAGAGAGCCCAGGCAGAGACAAAGGCCTGTGGGTTCGGGGTCAGGGATGGATATGTACATGGAGGCAAGGCAGGGAAGGTGTAGGCCATGCCCAGCATGAGAAGAACTGCTGTCCTACAGAATCCCTTGCCCTATCTCTGGAGGTTGAATCTTGGTTTGGGGGAGACATGGAGGAATCAAGAAAACTTCCGACTCTTCCCTACCTACAACTCATAGCCCATCCACAGCCTCCTTCCTATACTTCTCTCTCCCCAGCTCTCCTTGTCCCCCCCACCCCACATTCAGATCACAGAATGGACCTATCCTTTGATTTTGCAAACAAAGAAATTGAGGCTCAGAGAGGGCCAGTGACTGGTTCAGGTTCACACAGCAAGCTAGTGGCAATACAAGGGCAAGACTCTTCTATTGCTCTGCTGACCAGCTGCTCCTTTCTAACTTCTCTCTTCATCCCACCCATACAATTTCCCTTTCAGTCTTTCTATGCTTCTCAATCCAGTGAGGGGAAGACTCCCTTCCTTCCCAGGACCTCCAGCTGTGTTTTTATCACCCTGAGGCTGAGGCCTAGAAGAATTCTTCAAGCCACAGGGAGAACTTGGGGAGAGAGAATGTGGGAGAGGAAGGGAGGGTGCAAGCCAAAAAGAGAGGGAACTGAGGCAGGAAGCAAGTTGAAGGGAGGAAAGAGGTATAAAGCAATGAATGGAGGGAACAAACTGGATAGGGAAGAAGGGTTAATGGGATGGGGAAGGAGAGGACTAGCAAGTGAAGGAGGGCAGAAGAAAGTGGAGATGGTTGAGGGGGAATTGGATCCAGGGACATGGTATCTGGGAGGATGGCAGTTCAGAGACAAGTGAGGGAAAGGGCATTGTGCATGAGTGTGCAGGGATGCAAGAGGGTGAGGGGTGTACCAGGGAGCAGGATAAGCAAGGGAGTGGGAAAGAAGTGGTGATGGATGGGGCAAATCTATTGAGGGATGAAAACAGAAAAGGGCAAACGAGCACCAACTAGCACAAAAAAGTTCTTTGACCTCCTTAGTAAAATATGCTACCTCCAAAACTAACATGACTGAAGGAAAAATTCATTAAACCAGATTAGTTAGCATCTAGGAAAGAAAAAAGACTCAGAGAGGTCATCTAGATGGATTACAGTCATGAAGAAAGGCCACCTACTAGCTTTAGACTGCTACTTCAAAACTACTATTTCATCTGGACCGTTTAGACTCACTATCTACACCATTTTCTCTTTAAATGTCTCTGGCACTCTGGTTTGGAAATGCTTTGTTATCTATGCAGATCAAGATTCTATTAGAAGGAGATAGAGTTGTTGAATCAAGGAAACAGTGGAAGGAAGAGAATCATTAACCAGAGCAAAGATTTAAAAAGAACCCACATAATTAGGCACATGCCCACATAAGACATTGTCAATGAGAAAACCCAACAATGCTGATGCCAGTAAATAAATACACCACCATTGCCAACCGCTGCCAGCTTCCCTTATTTGAGAAACTACAGAAAGAATTCGATACAAAAAAGTTATTTGTGTGTATGGATGTAAATATAGACACACAGGAATGCATATACACAAATGTATACACGTGTGTGTGTGTGTGTGTGTGTGTGTGTGTGTGTGTTTCATTTACTTGTTGGATAATAGCCATATATTTTCTTTCCAGGTCTTAGGGACTCACCTCAAATTTTGCTGCAATCAGAAAGGCAGTGGAACCAATGAGTTGTAGCTTGTCCCTCTTGCATACTCTCTCCATCAGGTAGTGATCCACCAACTTTACTGCCAAGTACAGGGTTTCATGACTCGTTTCAAAGGACATCTGAAGGAATATATGGATAGGGCAGTAATGTTCACATCCAGATCTACAATCATCTTCAGAGAGATTTAGCTACCTGGACTATCTGCAGAATCAGGGACAGTTCTGGCCAGTTGAGACTCTACTAAGCATGTAGAAAGTGCTTCAGCTAGCTGCATATTTCTCCTGTGCCTTTAAAGCCCTGCTATTATCTATCCTTATACATTTGGGGAGGTAACCACAGAGATGTTCTGCCTTCTCTAGGAGATCCTTGAGTATATCCTCTCCCCTTAATCTCCATTTCTGCTTTCCTAATTTGCTACTAACTTGCACAGTAACCTCTCAAAAGAGATTATGGTTATTTCTTGTAAAATACACAGACTGGTTTGTTAATAATTTATTAGTTGCTCTTCCCCACTAGCTAATGATTAGATATATTGATTGAGAGCAAGTACCAATAAGCCATTTGGAAGTGAGCTGAATGAAGGACGAGTTAGATTACATTAGTAATATAACCCTCTTTTTCTTTTTTTTTTCTTACTTAACCTTTTCTTGCCTTTATCATCTCCAAGAAACCATCTCCTATAGCTCTAGTCCCAGGGTTCATGATGGCCATAAGGCACTTTTGTGCAAAAGAGGAATAAAAGAAGGTATATTTGAACATAGCCCTTTAAGTACACATATACTCAAGGAGAAAATACCTTTGTATGAATTAGCAAAAGGTTCTCCTGCCTCAGGACACAACAGCCCCATAGCAAAATGTACAACTTGGCAAACAAAGTGTGTGCTGGATTCCATGGGCTGCTTTTGTCTGGCTAGAGGCCCTGTGTAGGCACATTTACACATCTATACCCAGGGGTCCTATCCAATCCTCAGTTTTGCTTCTCACAAAATCTCAGTCTCTTAGGACTTAAGAACAACAAAATTCGTCCTAGTTCAATACATCAAGGTATGAATATTCTTTAATATCTCAGCCAAAGAAGTGTTTATTTCCTGACATACAAACCTCCACATACAATCTTATCTCTCTTTGAATGGTTTTAAATGAAAATTCTTCCTTATATTGAGTGAAACCAACCACTCTCCCTGTTAGCTTCATGTTATTCACTTTTAGTGACTGAACCTAGACCAAAACCACTATTCAATGAGAATCACTGAAGAAATGAATTTATATTTTCATGCCTGAATGATTGTCAGATGGTTGAATACAAGAATTCAGCAATACTCACATTATGGATCTATGTAACACAAATACCAAGAAGTAGTTCTTAACTATTCCTAGAATATGACCTTGGATCTTAGAGATGTCTGTATTTCTTCCCAATTGCTACTTTGGTAAATTACCACAAACTTAATGGATTAAAACAACACAAATTCATTATATTATACAAATCAGGGGAACAGAAGTCCAAAATGGGTCTCACTGGACTAAAAAAAAAAAAATCAAGGTGTCAGCAGGACCTTTATAGAGGTCCTATCAGAGACTCCATTTTCTTGCTTTTTGTAACTTCTAGGGCAGTCCACAGTCCTTGGTTTCTGGCCCCTTCTACCATCAAAGACAGCAATAGCCAGCTAAATATTTTTCATATTATATCACCCTCTGCCTCCCTCTTCTATACATTTTTTTCCTCTTCTACATTTAAAGACCTCAGTGATTATATTGGGCCCACTCAAATAATTCAGAATAATTATTCTATCTTAAATTTAGCTGATTAGCAATTTTAATTCCATCTGCTACTTTAATTCCTCTTCACCAAGGTCACATATTAACAGAGTCTGAGGATTATGATGTGGACATTTTATTCCACCTAGCACACTGTCCAAAAGATACCATAAGAAAAGGATGAGAAACCCTCATACTGAAAGATAATAACTATCACCTTAAGTACCCGAGATCAGGTAATTACAAAAAATAAAATAGAAATGGAAACCAGCAGTTCTCTGAGGATAATGCCTCTGTGAGCAAATGACATAGGTAGCACTTGTATTGGCTCCTACTGGTATCTCTCATAGGCATTGACCACCTATGCACACAGGCTAGTGTCAAATGGTAACATCTAAATGTGTAATATCTGAATGAATGATGGAATATGGTATTGCTCAATATTTAAATCAGCAGCTATGTCAATTATAGCAATCTTCCTTCCCTGAATGTAAAACAATACTACTCTAACATATCTTACCACTTTGAACTACATGGAACAAGTTGAATCCCTCTTGTGACAATCTGACAGCTACTGAAGACAGTTATCATATCTCCTATAAATCTTCCCCACTCCAGATCAAATAATTTGACTTCCTCCAAGTATTCTTCACATGACATGGTTTTTAGTTCCCTCAACATCAGGCTCCAAATGAGGGTCTCCAGGCCAGTTAGGGAAGAGTGGCAATAGGAAGAGTGGCAATCCTCCCAGTAATTTCAATCAGTTACAACAAATGTGGACATCAAGCCCTTCAGCACAGTAGCAAAATTCTCTCCCTCCTTCACGACAGCCTCTGGCTAAAGCACTCTTTCAATTCTTCATAAACAACTGTTCCCTTTATTGGTAGATGGGTTAGAAGAAACAAGAAGGAAGCAACAGAGCACAACTATTAGATCATATAGTCTATAGTTCATTCTTAGTCTCAAATTAAGAGACAAATCAGATAAAACCCATCTCAAATTTCAAAATTCAAGACCCTCTTCTACAAAAATGAACAAATGGAAAAAAAAAACCTGTCAAATACACAAAAAAAGAACTAGTAATTTTGAAAGAAGAAACATTCTTGGGATCAGAGTAAGCATCTACCTATGAAACCTTTCATTCTAAAGACCTGGGATAAACTTCCTAAAAGTAAGCAAGATCTGAGTTCAACAATTTCTGAGAGGATACTGAACCTATGAAAAGAGAACACTCTGGGATCCAGAAAGACTAATTCCTGATGAAAATGTAATTATTTTAAAACTGTATATTAGATACTACCCTCCCCCAAAAAAAGTATTCCAAAGGCTTTTTTCTTTTTTCTTTTTATTGTATTATTTCTTATTTATGTTTAATCATTGTACATATTCATAATACAGAACATGGTTTTTCAAAGTTTGTATTCAGTGTATGTCAATCATGTCAAAGATACAACATCCCTTCATGACATAAACCAAAGCCTACTTAAAGTGGATGAATATAGGGACCAGCAGATGGCATAATGGTTATGTCACTGTATTTCCACATGGCTGACTGTGGTTCAAGTCCCAGACCCAGCAGTTTCAAAATCACAGTGGATGGGAATGCATGAATGCCCAAAATCCTGAGAAGAGAATGGAAGAGAAGGGACTGCAGTGTGGCCATCCTCTCAGAGGGTGATTTCTCACTTTCTGTCTCTTTCTCCAGCAAGTACACACACCCTATAGCAAAAATCTGTTGAAAAAAAGTGGACGAATGTGGAAGATTTAATGTTAAGCGAAGCAAGCCAGACTATGAAAGACAAGCATTGTATCTCCTCCTTTAATATATACCAAATATTTGCACTATATGGAAGAAACTAAAAGATTGGAGTATATAAAGAGGAGGGCAACTGTGTATGCTAGAGACAGTACAGGAGGGGGTAGGTACTAGAAGGTAAGAAAAGGGGAATTAGAAACAAAAAGGAGAGAAGTATTTAATAAACACAAAATAAAAAGGTATCTGTTGATGATAATGTATATGGTAATATCTTTGACTGGAATGATATGTACTGTATTCATACTGGGAAAAACAATTTTTTATGCTATAAAGATGTACAGTAATTAAATGTAAATTTTTAAAAAGTAATAAAAGAAAAAGAAATTCTCCCAAAACTGAAAGGTAAAAGAAAGTTGGAGGCATATTGGTGTGCCACCCCTGCCCTCCACAATCTCTGTGTGCACACCTCCTCAGTGACATATGACTTAATAATTTATATATTACACAGGGTTCTTTTAAAAACATGCAACCAAAATGAAACAAACAAAAATATCCTCACAACTTCCCAGGAAGATAGGTGTGACTGGTTTTCTAAAAGATAGAGACAGGAGAGGAAGCAAGTATACCTAGAGAAAGCCCTGGAACCAGAGACTGGCAGGGAAGCAGGAAGGGTTGAGACCTTCTTAAGGGAATAGGGACCTCTAAGGAAATGGGTGTAGAGACCCCTCAAGGAGTTGAAAAGGAGATCTTAGAAGTATCTGGAGCCTTGGCTCTATGCACACACACATGCACAGATGCATACATGCAAGCATGGACAGATATAGACAAAGCTGAAGATAATAAAATAAAACTAGAAATCCAAAGAAAATAGATTCAGGAGATACACACACATACACACACACACACACACACACACACACACACACAGTCAAAAGGTCAAAAAGCAAAGGGTAATAAAATCAAAGAAATAACAGATAAAAATTTCTCTGAGCCAAAGAAAGACTAAGCCTCTACACTAAGATACATAACATATCAGTAAAAATTAAGGAAATGGGCCCACATGTAGAAACATCAAAAATAATTGGGTACAAAGAAAATAATGTATCAAACAATAAGAATCTAGATCCAAAGCCTAGATTATTTTAACTAAAAAGAAAACAAAATATAAATATATAAATTATCTCATCCCACTTGAGGGAAAACTAACAGATAACTAAATAAAGACTATTATATAACAGACTATTATGCAGAAGTTTAAAAGAATGTGGTAGATCTATACTTACATGAAAAGATTACTAAAACTCATTCTTAAGAAAAAAGAGCAAGTTGCAGACCAATATGTACAATAAGACCTATTCATATTGCAAAATACTATAAATCCTAGTAGGATAGAGAAATGGCAAACAGAGGATTGGAATGTGCCCATACCCTGTTGGGGGGCACACGCTCTCACCAGTACAAGTACCCTATAGCAATTAAAAAAGAAAAAAATAAAGGACATTCAAAAACTTAATAAACACGCAAAAAGGATCTGGAAGAATACATTCTAAACAATTTATAATTATTACAACTCATGAGTACGTGATGGTAGGCTCCATACATTGA